TAAGTACTAGTGAGTCCCGTAGGAGGGGACTTGATCTTGCAGAGGTATGATCGGAGTGGCTGGAGAGTTAGACTGCTCCAGACCTCATATTCGCTTAAGGGAGCCCGACAAGTCAGAGGACAAGGCTGAGTAAGCGAACGTTTCTACCAAGGAAGCTAAGGAGAACAGAATCGGTGCGAACCCTGCAACATGATGGCGGTGGCAATGCATGAGAATTGCAGTCTGTCTTTCCATCGACCAAGGGGAACTGCTCGGTGAACACAGAGGTGTTGAAGTAGGAAGTCGAAAGGGGCGAGGAAGCGACGATGAGTCTAGAGGGACTTAGCTACTCAACACCAAGCATTAGTTAGAATGGAGGTGGACTCGAAGGAGTGCCACAGTGCTACAGAGGCAGATCTACTGATCGCGAAGAAAGGGACGCAGATGCGAGGCAACAGATAGTAGGGCCATAGGCATGACAGCGCTATGATACCGTAGAGGCGGGACTTCTGTGAATCATCGATCCCTTGTTCTCTTGGAGGGAGAGTGCTTGGTCGTGAAAGGGGCTAAGGAGGTTGACACGAGATTGCCTAATTTGTTGTAATCTGCTCATATGGACCTTACTGATACTATGATATTTTTTTCAACCCACAATGTTTCCTTATAGTTTTCAACTCAGCCCACTCAAATATGACAGCTCATGAGCATATTCCTTAGATAAAGTTACAGCTGTTTCAAGGTGCTTTTCTTCATAACCAAGGAATGCATTAAAAAAGTTGGTTACTGATTGTAAAACACTTAATTTCGAAATTCCCTATGCATGAAGGGTTATTTCATGCACTAGTACTTATTTAGATGTTTTGGGGTTAGAAAGGATCAACATAACTCAACTGACCCCACACCAGAGTCGGAGTCATTGGCGAGTTGAAGTAGCATGGCGGATCAAAGTTTGACGATTCAAAAACAACGACGGAGTGTAGTTGGGAGCCAAGAGGCGAGGAGATGCAGTATCTGCAAAGGCTTCAACGAGGACGTCGAAGGAATAAGTGGGGGAGAATGTCACAGACAAAACTGTAAATGTGGTGTTTGATGTAATACTCATGTATGTATTAGAACCCTTGCAGATTCTAAGTTTGGGGTTGATCTCTTTAAGGGATCGGTCTCCTTGGAACTCTATAGGGGTTCCATCCTCCAAGTTACTGCTCAAACGCTATTAAAAAGATTAATCTATTTCTTATTAAAAGAGGATGAATATATGACTATTTATAGGGCTTTTAAACCCCAACTCCTAATAGGACTCTTAATCAAGACTCTTACTCAATTAGGACCAGTGATTGAAAAAGGCACTCGGGCGCTCGCCTAGGCGCTCGGGCGAGGCGAGGCGAGGCCCGAGCGCCTCGCTAATGTCCCAGGCGGCGCGCTTCAAACAGGCGCCGCCTGGGCGCTCGCCCGAGCCTAGGCACTGGGCGCTTCGGGCGAGCGCCTGGATAAACCAAGGCGACCGAACCATAATTTTAGGTCTGGTTCGGTCCTGGTTCGGTTGTTAGTTGGTTCAATCGAACCAACTAAACCGATATAACCCCAACCCTAACCCTTACCCAACCCTAACCTACTGCCGCTGCCGATCCCGATCCCGATCGCGATCTCGCTACTCGTCGCTCCTGCTCCCGCTGTCGCTGCTCGCGCCTCCCGCGAGCCTTCCCGTTGCTCGCACCTCCCTCGAGCCCTCCCGCTGCTCGCGCCTCCCGCGAGCCCTCCCGCTGTTCGCACCTCCCGCGAGCCCTCTCGCTGCTGTTGCCGTTGCTCGCCGCTGCTGCTGCTGCCGCTCGCCGCTACTGTTGCCGCCGCTCGCCGCTGCTGCTGCCGCCGCTCGCCGCTGCTTCCTCGTTTCTTCATCAGGCTCAGTATACAGTATACTCTTAATATTAAGTTTATTAAAATTTTGAAATGATTAATTTTCTGTTAATAGATTAATAATATATTATTTTGATTTTAATGTTGTTAATTTTTATTTATTTGAAATTATTAATTATATTATATATTTTTATATTTTAGCGTCTCGCTTCGCTCGGGCGAGCGCCTAGCGCCTCGGGCGTTTGTGGACCTTGGCGCCTTTTGGCACCTAGCGCTTTTTAAATCACTGATTAGGACTCCTACTCAAGACTCCTAATAGGACTCCTACTCAAGACTCCTACTTCTAACCAACTCCTAATGCTTCTCTAAGAAGCAACCTCCAAACTAATCCTATCCATAGTCGACCTCTTTACCTCTTTAATGGGGGTCGACTTGGTAGGTTTTACATGAATACCCCTTTCAATGAAACTCAGTTAGGACTCTCCTAGCTAGAGTCCTAACAGACCCTCTTCAAATCAATCTTGTCCTCGACGCTAACAATCAATGAATTCTGAAAATTTGATCAAGTCGTCATATTTCTCCTAAGTGGCATCTTCTGTTGGTTGGTTCGCCCTCTGTATTAGCACTTCAATAGTGGGTCGTCGTCATCGAGTCACGATCCGTCGATCAATAATGGCAATCGGCTGGGTCTGGAGTTTTCTTTGGGCAATCATATTTGTTAGATGGCTTTGGGCTGTCTTGTTTTGTCCCAGCTTGAGCTTTAAACATGACACATGGAGGAAGACTAGATGGATTCGGGAGCTAGCGGGTAAGTCCAATATGTATGCTACCGCTCCGATGCACTTCAAAATTTGGTAGGGTCTATAGAACCGAGGTGAAAGCTTCATAGATACTCTGGTCTGGATTGATGTTGGCTTATATGGCTGGAGCCGTAGGAAGACCCAATCTCCTACTGAAAATTCTCTTATTTTGGGATTGATGTTTGCTTCACAGATTTTGTCTCTGTCCTGCAGTTCCCTGTCTACTTGTTCTACTTTAGAGGTGCCCAACACATATTTTGGGATCACAAGGGGAGGTCGGCCATACATAGCCTCACAGGGAGTACATTTTGTGGATGAATGATAAGTTGTATTATACCACCACTCGGTCTAGAGAAGCCACTTTGTCCACTCTTTTGGTCGATCACTGGTGATGCATCTGAGGTATGTCTCCAAGCACCTGTTCACCACTTCAGTCTGGCCGTTGGTTTTTGGGTGATATGTCGTACTCATTTTCAATTTAGTGCGTTGCATCTAGAATAACTCTGTCCAAAATCTGCTCGTGAAGATCCTATCACGATCACTTACAATAGATCTCGACATCTTATGTAATTTTACAGTATTCTTCATAAAGATTCAAGCAATACTAGAAGTAGTGTAGGGATTACGAACAACGCAAAAGTGAGCATACTTTGTAAGGCGATCCACCACGACAAAAATTGTACCTTTTCCTTGTTATGAGGGAAGCTTTTCGATGAAGTCCATTGATATATCAGTCCATATTGAGTCCGAGACGGGCAAAGGTTGTAGCTTTCCGGGACTTGCCACTGTCTTGCCTTTATATCGTGACATACATCACATTGTGCCACAAATTTAGCAATAATATTTTTCATCCCTACCCAATAAAAATTTTGCTTAATTCTCTTATTGGACCTAAGGAACTCGGAGTGCCCGGCCGCAGGTGTGGAATGCATCTCTTGAAGGATGGTTTTTATGCAAGTAGAATTTGACACAAGCACAATGCGTCCTGTATAGCGCAATTCTTTTGAGTCCCAATTGTAATGAGCCACGGAGCTTGGTGTTTCCTCCAATTTTCTTATGATCTTACTGGTCTCAGGATCTTCCTGCCATTCCCTCTTAATATCCTCAAGGAAGTAGCTTGTCGGAAGTGAAACGGTCGAAAATTTAGCTAGCTCGGGTAGCCATGAAAGCACATCTGCAATAACATTCTCTTTCCTCTTTTTGTAAGTTATTTCATAATCATGTCCTTTGTTGTGCGACTATTCAAAACTTGTGAAGTTTGTGTAATTTGCATTGGCTATGAAGTGTTTACTGAAATGATTGCTTGTGGATCTTGAGTGAGACGCTTTCTCTAACCCGTTTTCTCTTTTGTGGGTCCTAAGGGATCATAGGAGGTTTCGGGGAGGTTGGCCTTTGTGGACGGACACGAGAGGGTGCCGTACGACTTAGGCAAAACCAACTAAGTGCGTGATAGCCCGCTACCGGGCGGTATTAGTCGAGGGAAAAGGAAGAAGAGGGAGAACCTAGAGACCCGGCGTCGCTCTCCCTCGATGATCCCGACCCGTCGTCGCCCTCCCTTGCCGGACGCAATAGATGAGATGTCGCCTCCTCTTCGTTTGAGGTGACAAGGCCTCGGCGTCGTCGGCGACTTCTCCTAATCCGCGCGGGGAAGAAAAGCCTCGCTGTGGGGAGAAGAAACCTCGACGATTTCGTCGGGGCTTCGCGGGGAGACCTCGGTGTCGTCGGTGACTTCTAATCCGCGCGGGCAGAAGAAGCCTTAGCATGGGGATAAGAAACCTCGGCGACGTCGCCGAGGCTTCGAGGTTTTCTTCTCCCCATGCGGGGAGAAGAAACTAAGCGACGTCGCCCCTTTTTTATATTTTAACTTTTATTTTTTTAACTTTTATTATATATATATATATATATATATATATATATATATATATATATATATATATATATATATATATATATATACCGAGCAGTACGCCAGAGCATACCGCTCGGTATACTCGTACCGTATCGTATCGAGCTGAACTCGAAACTCCGGTACGGTACAAAATTACAAACCTTGGTTAAACTTATAGTAGTCTGATTATTTTCATGACCAATAACTTCTTAATTGCATATGTTACCTAGGTTTTATTTATGTAAATCCTTGTTTCTTGATTGCTCCGTCTCTTGAATATTCTTGGTTATGACATTTTAAAGTATAGTTTCTTGCTCTTATTATTTGCACTTATACCATTATGTTTTCACCTATTGATTTCCTTTGCCTTGTGTTTTTATTAGATGCTGGTAGTACTTATTGAATTAGTTGCTATCATTTTGTTTGATAAGACAGTGGCTATGCTAGTGAACTAAAGGTTATTTGTTGTTCATCTTCAGAATGGGAAGTTATTAAAGAGCATTAAGTCACATTCTGTGGCTGTCATCTGTTTGAACTGGGAAGAAGAAGCACACATTGAAAAGGTATGTCCTCTACTTCCCTTGTTGAGAAGTTATTGTTGGATAATGTCATCGGAGGCTATCATGGAACCAACATAGCCAGGTGTTTAAAATTGCAGAAAAGGTGTTACTACCTAGTGCCATTAGTTGAAAATAATTTGGTCATCCTCCATTCAGACCCTTAAGATTGTTTCATTCAGGCATCTCTCAGCTGATTTCTTTGAGGTGAAATTAAAATTAATGTCAAATGGTAGTAAAAAGCAGGGATGTGAGTTCGAGAACATGAAAAGTTTCTTGTTTTTCTAAGCTTGGATCCGGTGGAGAATAAAAATGTATACCTTCTACGTACAAGCAGAGAGGTTGTTTCCATGTCTTGAACTTTTAATCAACTAGGCTGCAAAGAGGCAACTATATTGTTGCACCAAGACTTACAGTCTTACACTCAGTTCATTATTGGTGCCGTCAGCAAGCTTTACAAGTGCTTTGATCACCATTGCACTATGAGAAAGGAGGAGAGGGAGGGAGAGGAGGTGGTTAATGGATTGAATTTGACCTAATCCAATTAAAAATTTAGATATGAATTGGAGTCACATGATAAACCGGTTCAGGTGTAATCCAATCCAATTATAATCAGACTGCAGATGATTCAAAGTCAATCCAGTTTTGTTCCATATCCAATATTATGATTATGATTATATTATTCATAACATATTTATATATTCTAAAACGTAAAAAACATTTCCAATCTTAATCCCTAATCACCTCAACTTTATTTCTATTTGCAATTGTGAGTTTGTGATGATGTTCGTAACACAAAAGTGGTGCTCCATTGCAGTTGGTTGGAGTTCGTCTATCTATGTATGTGCCTTCCCTTTTTCTCTCTCCAAGTTGAGTTTTTTTTCTACAGTCCCCCTTTGGCTTCGCTTTATTGTCTCTCTCACTCTTAGGCTCTCCCACCCGCTGCCCACACAATTTCACCACTCGAAATGTCTCCTTGTCTCTCTTTTCTCGCTTTGTCTGATTCTCACTTTCTTAGACTCTTCCTCTCAGTTGGCCTAATTCACTAGAAATGTCTAGTTCCTCTTCCTCTCACTCTTGCTCTTAGTCTCTCCCTCTCAGTTGGATTGACTTGAGTCATCGTATACGAAGACATGGATTACGTGTCTAATCTGATGACCTGGATAGAATTTGGTTAAGTCCAGCTAGGACTTAGTTTGTAGGTGTGTTGACCGTTATCTGGTCTATTTGCACCATTATTATGCCTTTGAGAATCTGAATCACTGACCTCCCTGGCCTTGAGGTCAGGGTAGGGATTGGAGGAGAGTGTTAGAACAGTTGGGATGAGGGACATGAGAGGTGGGTTTTGGGTTTAGGGGTTCACTAATAAAGGGACATGGAGAGAAAAGCAACCGTTTATTCCTTGAGAGAGGTATAAATAATAAGGTTGAGAAAGAGAGATAGATAGGTTTCCTCTAGGCTTAAGAACTGTGTTCAATGGTTTGGTGAACCCACATTTTCTGGAAGATTAAATTGAGCCGATTGAAACCTAGAAAAACCAAAATACATTTAGAACTGATTTGATTGAGTCAGTTATCTAGTTTTTTTCGGTTTGGTAGGTTTTCTTTTTCGATTTAGTTCGTCAGTTCACTTTTCTATCACTTGTGTTGGCCAGACTGGTCTACTTTGTTCGTGGAATTCTTTTATTAATAATCCAAATAAGCCATCATAAGTTGGAGATTAGTTGGTATTGGAGGAATTGGCTGGTAATTAATTTGGATCTGCTGGATCTGACTGGTAAATTGGCTTGACTATTGAGAACCACAAGAATGAATGAAAACTAACAGAGATTGGTGAGATCAATGGGATGACTAAACCTAAGGATAATTATTGAAAGAAAATGGGAATGAGATAATGCTCGTCCTGATTTTCAAAGCATGCTTATTGTCTCATGACAAAGATGATCAAATGTCAAGCAAAGTATTTGCTTGTAGCAATGTGGTAAATTTTTTTTAGAATTGAGATCTAAATTTAAGAAAACATTTCAAATTGATGTATACTTGGTTTCTTTAACTGTTTGTTTCCTTGTGTAAAGGATCATTCCCTGCTGATCAGACAAGTTCTCACCAATAAGATCTCCATGATTGATAGAATAAGTTCTATGGGCTTATTGCTTGTTTTAGGATGCTACCTGTGCTATTACTTAGATTTGCATGACAACTTTCGTGTACATGGTTTTAGTCATGTTAGATTGATCCTTAAGACAAAACTATTTGTATCACAACTTTCAGGTATATGATTTTTTGTGATTATGTTAGATTGATCTTACTATGGTTGTGACTCTTCAAATTTGTTTATCCAGTATTGGGTGTAAAGTTACTGTTCAACTATTTTCTGTATACAGGGTGAGATAGATAGTGCTTTTGTTTATGAAGATCGTACTAGGCGTTTCTTCCCTCCTGCTCCAAGAGTTCCTCGGATGCCTGGACTGAATGCTGGAGATGCTGGTTTTATGGATGACCTTGAAGATACCTTTCATGAGTTATCCACTTCTCCAAGGCAACATTTTAACATGCTGTCTAGCGGAGATAAAGATGGTTGCATTTGCTTCAGTATTTTTGGAATTTTTCCAATAGGAAAAATTGTGAGTTATTATTCCAAAATTTACAGCAAAAGTCGTTAATGTATAAGTTCTTTTGTAAAATATGGAGCTTACACAAAAGAAATCCATTGGTGCTGAAATCTTAGTTCATCACATTCATGCATATTTTAGATTGTATTATTCTTCTTGATCTAGTATATGTTTTGCCATTCAAGAAGCTGTATAATTGGTTCAGCTTCATAAGCCCTCTTTTTCTCTCTATGCATGTGCTATCTCCATTTTGGAATCCCTTTGAAGTAGGTATGTACCTGTACATTTAGCTGAGTAAATATGTTTGAGGCATAGTTCCTGTAGTTAGGGACTCACCAGGTGCTTTTTAGATATTTTCATCACATCAATTGAATATTCAGCAACCAATTAATCTACTTAATACTGAGAACCTCAAGCTTTTAAAAGTTAAGTAATAATGAGCTTGGTGTATGCTTAAACAGTTAAAGTCTAATTATCTTGTCTAATGATGTGTTTGTTGAGACTGTTGAGATTCATGGAATTAGGCAAAGGCTATCTATCATGGGTTCACAATCTGATCAGATCATAGTAATGCCTTGATGGAGTATTTTCCTTGATTTATTCACCTTTTTGGCTTTATTGTTGGGTTAAACTATCGAGTGCCAAGAACCTTTGACAAAAGCAGATCCGATGGCCTTTTGTGTTTGAACTGAGTGAACTGTCTGCCAAAAATGAAAAAACGACCAGGAATGTATTGGGCATTAGGGCTTGATTTGAAATTAACTTATGTTCTTTTGAGAAACTTCCCTTTAAAATTTAAAGAAAGCATTAATGATCAAAGCTTTTACAAGGAGCATGATGATTGGTTTATGTTATCATTCATGCACCTCCAATGACCTGTAATTGGATATCTAAGAAAGTTATCACCAACCTGAGAGAATGATGTGGGAGTTTGTATGCCATATAAAAGTGTGGGGATATCATAATCAGTTAAGAATTTGATTTTAAACAAAAGAAAGTTATTTTAAGAGTTACCTTTGGATTGCTTTTTCTCTTCCACAAAAGTAATAATTTCCAACGAATATGAATATTGCTGTTTAATATGATCATTTTTAGCTGCAGTTGCTTATTGAATAGTGTCCATCCAAAATTTACTATTTAGTGTCTATTTTTGCATAATACTGTTGATCCTTTTCTGTTGGGAATGGGGATCTACTAATCTAGATCTGGTCCTACTAATGTACTATTTAGTTTATACCTGAGCTACTTGGAAGTTAATTTTTGCTGTTTGTGCAATATTTAGGGCAAGATCTGCGTTTTGTAACAAGTTATGATGAAATTAGATTCTCATATATTGGTATAAGTTGGTCACCATTTAGTTCTATAGCTACCAAGATTCTGCCCATACAGAGCTTGTATGTAACATTGCTTTTTTGTTTGAAATACCTGAACTTATTTGTGGATATAGCTTGCTTCCTGACTGATTCCATTTTATATCAGAACATTCACAAGCTGTCTCTTTGTGCTCCATTTCTAGACAAGACAGCTACATTCCAGCTTCTAAATGCTTCTATACACCAGGTACTCTTTTATTCTTGTTTGGTACTCAATGTTCTCCGAGGAATGCTTCTAGCTTAGTGCGACGAAAACATGAGGCTCCTTCGTTGCAATTACTTTTTAGATGCATTTTTATAGCTTGATTTATCCATGGGCCTTTTTCACCAGTTGGTTTAATAAAACATTAATTAGCTTTATTGAAAGAAATCTGTCTCAGTTGTTCTAGGGGCTTTTTTAGATGCATTTTATGACATCCATGGGTCTTTTTGTCAGTTGGCATTATCAAAAGATCTGTCTCAGCTAGTTGTTCTGAGCTTTGGGGAGCTCGAGGAAAACCTTGTGAAGCCAAAAGGCAAGAATGTACAGAAGGATGAAGAATATGCTGAGGTCCAGAAGTTTTCACATACTGGGGATTCTTCAGTTGGATTGCATTGTCTTCTTCTTAATACATCTATATTTCTTGACAGGTAAATGGTAAATAGAGTATTTTTCTTTAGTATATGTACCTGAAGCTTGATGTTTGATTGTTCCTTTTCTATTTTTGAAATTTTACATGAAGGCAGTATTTTTTGTGATTGATCTTAATAATGCTTGGATATGAATTTTTCCTGAGGGTTTCTGGACTAATTTATTTGTATTTTTTTAGCCAAATCAAACTTTCTTGATTGTAATGGATTATGTTTTTGACTTTTTGGTACTCTTCACCAAGGTTTGCAATACCGGCAGGTATGGTACGAGGGGTATTTACTAGTCCGACAACTTATCAGTAAACGGTTCCGGGTAATCTGGATGGTAAGCGTGGTACAGGGCCCATATCATCCAGTCAAGACCTGTATGGCCTAGTATGCTCGATACAAGGCCTGTATCGTCTAGTACAGGTTGACATAGGGCCTATACCATCCAATATATGGTATAGCCCTATACTGGGCTTTTTTTTTTGTTTTTGCAGGTTTTTCAGGCTTTTTTTGTGAAACTCACTATGCATCGATGCACTGACACTCAGGACACCAGTATGCTACTGGTCGGAACCCTGACCAGTATAGCAGCACACAAAATTGTGAAACTTACTCTTCACCTCTTTAAAGGCTATTATTCAATGCCAGGTGATGGACTTTGCTTTATCTGAGGAAATATTGAGAAGCTTGAAGTGATGAACAGAATTGCTGATAACAAATTGCATGAAACTGTTTTTATCATCAGTGTGCATTTTAGGAATGTTTGATTCACCCAGATGCAAAATGTATTTATTCCTCACTAACATTTAGGATTTGTATTTATGTTTTGTCATCAATTAAGAATCTTTCATGTTTCTATTTCAAATGTTCTGTTACATTTTATTTTTATCTAGGATGTGTTACTACCTCATCTATTGTTATAAACTAATTTTAATTTAAGTAGCCAACTTCGTATATCTCTAGGACATATTAAAAGAGTTTCACCAATCTCCCTTTGGATCTTTGGTAAAAACTTTTTGCTACAACTGTTTTGGAGTTCCAATTTGATTTTTAAGCAACGATATACTGTCATCCAGTGGCCTCAATCTGTTTGTGTACAAATTAAGTACTGTAGTGCAAAGACCTGTTTTCCATACTAGCAAATACCTTTTTTTCATACTTACATGATGTATGCTTTATACAGAAAAAATGAGCTTCAGCAGGTGGCCCAACAAGCTTCAAGTATTGAAGATTTAGTTGAGGTTGTTCGTGCTTCCCTGTCAGTTATGTCCAAGCAATGGTCTGAAGCCATGCATTCATTTCATGAGAAATTTGACCCTCTGTCTTCTTTGATTGTCAGTCATGGTAGCTTGCCGATACGATTATATGAAGTTGATAAATCATTAATTACTTGTGTAGCCAAGTTCTTGTTTCACTGCTCTTCTTTAATAAGTTCAGAAAATGCATCTCCAGGCCTGGATTCCAATCCTCAAGATGAGTTTCTTAGTGTCCTATTTGGGGCGAGGACAAGTCCACCACTTCATCAGTTTCTAGTCAATTCACTTGGTGAAGCGGTACCATAATATTAAACTAATATTTGCAGCAGTTAGAATCAGAAATTAATTATGCTATTCGTTTGGATAGGGTCTGAAGCGTGTCTGCAAGGCTGTTGATACCGCAGGAAAGGAGCTACATTCTGTCATTCATGAACATCTTCAGGTATGTTAATTATAGACGCATTGTGTTATATTTGAGTTTATCAAACTCATAATACTCTTCTCTCTCTCTCTCTCTCTCTCTTTGGGCAAGGAGGTTAAGATAGCAGGTATAGGTCTAAAGGATTGCAAAACAGGACAGAGTTGAGGAATATTGTCGTTGTTTTGCAGTGGAGCTAGAAACAAGAACTTTTAGTTTTGCAGATGCTCAAGGAAGTTCATAATACATATTATATTTTTTTAAGAAAATAACCACACGTAGTCAAGGATTTGAATTTGAGGGACAGAATGTGTTTAGTTCGCCACCAGAATATATGTAGGTGGACTGAGGTATGCTTACAGAGCATGTCCTGCTTAGCTGGCGATACAAAAGAGAGAGCAAAAAACCAATAGAGAAAATTAAGTGTACGAATAAACAGATCAATCGAAATCCAACATGTGCAGATCTGGTTAGATCTACTAATTGTCAGTGACAATGAGAAAAAAATCATCCACTGTCAAAATGAGGAAAATGTACTATCCCTAGATTGTTGGCAACATCTTCTCACTGTTATTTACTTGAGCTCATTGGTCCGCTGATCACAAGTGTTTGGGCTTGATGGATCTCATCATCCTTAAGGTTCACAAGTTGCAGCTAAAGGGATCAGGAATATAAGAATTTGGGATATATGGATTTGCAATGATAATTCCACCTTTTATTTCTCACTGTTACCGACCCTCAATTTGGACTGCTAGAAAAGATAATCATGTTAAATAAATGGAGTGCCAGTAAATAAATGAGGGGTGTTACATCCTTTTCTCATGATTTAGATTCTTTCTGTAAAACATGTTTAGATTTACATGTTTCGTAGTAGATTAACCAACAAAAATAATAAGTTTACTGAAATTAAGTGAACTACAGGAATAAAGAGAAAAAGAAAATAGGTAAAACTACCTAAGTTTCCTTTTGATCCCTATCCATCGTTGGAAATTTATAGTGATTGTTTCAATTAAGTCCTATTTCCAGCATTCATCAAAATGATAAAAGGATGAATTGTTAACATGTATGTCCAATCCCGTAAATAACATGAAATTCCTGCCATGCTATGGTTTTTTCATCTTCTGATCTTCTTCCTTTCTCTCTCATCATTATTACCAAGTGCAGGACATTTGGGAGTGTTCACTCACACAAGCATACACACGTGCACACACGGACACACTCGCACACAAACAATGTGTGCACCAGCAATTAACATCAAGGAAGATGCAGGAGATAAGGTTCAAGTCATCCCTTTTTCCATGCTTTCTCGATTCCTTTATCCTCATATTCCTTTACTATGCCAGTCATCTTGAGTTTATAGATAAAAGGAGCTGAGTTGTATCCTCCTTTTCTAGCATTTGATTTGGCGTATTTTAATTTGTGTGATCAACAGTGTATATGGTGGTTCCGGATGACTGGACCTATACATTTAGATTTTGTAATTATTCTTGATGAGAATTGGCAGTAGGATTTATTGAAGTATAGGGGCAAAATTCACTCTAATTATAATTTAAGAACATAATGAAATTAGCTCTGTTATTCAAGAACCATTTAGGCAGTATGTAGAGCAACAATGCTCTCTTCAACATTGATATTCCAACTAGAAATTTGGCTGTTGAAATTCATAAAATGCAAATGAGCACTTTGCCATCCACGACGTAGTGTTTGATTGACATTATGTTCTAATGTCTGGATATTAAATTGTTTCATGTTAATTTTTTGTGTGTTTTGGTTTAGTTTGTTGTATGAGTTAGAATAATGGAAAGATTTGAAACAAACTTTTTGTTACTAGGGTAAGGCTGGATAAATTGGCTGCCGAGTCGGCATTGGCAGGAGCCTTGTGCGTTCAGCCACCCTTTTCCGTTTTGTCATGGAAAGATTTAAAACAAATGTTTTGTTACTAGTATGGTTTGCAATAACGTATTGTACCGTTTGGTACGAGCAGTATGTACCAGTCCGATAGAGGACTGATACGGGTTGTACATTGGTACACCCTAGTGTACTATGTGTCGGTATGCTCAGTATAACTTGGTACAACTCGGTACATACCGTATTGATAGCTGATCGATACACCGGTACGGTATAGTATTCAGAACCTTGGTTTCTAGGGAAAGGTTGGATAAATTGACTCTAGAGTTGGCATTGGCAGGAGCCATGTGCACTAAGCTGCTGTTTTCCTTTTTGATAGTTAAAATAAGGCAAACTTAGGTTCTTGTATTATGATAATTATTTGTGTTATTCCTTTTGTAAACATATTACTTTTATGAAACTTATATTTCAATTTTGTCTTGCTGCACACGCTTGTAGCCTGCTGTAGAGATTATCGGATTTAGAATTGCGGAACTAAGAGGCCTTTCAAGATGGCGTGCAAGGTATCACATTATTGGATTGGATGAAAAACTTATTGATAGTGCAACAGAGAAGGCTGGAATGTTGCTTGTGCATGTTGAACGGTTTTTGAGGATCCTAGCAATTGTGTTGTATCAGGTACTCTATAGGGTTATAAATGATATTGGCATAACTGATTCTGAATATTTGTTACTCTTCTTAGTATGCAAATTTAATATACAGACATTAGAACATAATGTCAATCAAACTTAGTGTTTGATTGACATTATGTTCTAAATGAGCACTTTGATATAAATTTCCTGTTACCAATGCATGACCGATTTATACTTTTCTTTGTATTTTGATTTCTATCAACTTTGATTCATTTGTTTTTCTTTGTATTAAGTTCTCATAAAGACTTTATTTGATTATTTCTCAACTAAGGTGCAAATACATGTTTAGTGGACAGACCACTTGATAGTGCACGGAAAATTGCAAATAATTATTTACTTTTTCTTTCAAGTTTTCCTAGAACCTTCATGTTGACTATTCCTGTCATATAACTGAGGGTTACCAATTGCTAGAAAAATCTACCATAGAACCTAACAGTTTATGTTGAGTGTCATTGTCAGTTTATCTTGGCTCATTGCTAGAAAAATCTGCTGCAGAACCATCCAAACCATTTTGGTGATATCTAAATTTTGCTAATTTGAATGTTCAAAGTAGCTATCTTATTTTGGATTTTTTCCATCATACCAATCAAGAATAGCTCTAAGATTTCTAGTTTTCATTTTTTAGTAGAGTGCTTATGCTTTTGAGGCAGAAATAAGGGCACGATTTTAAATACTGGTCCAATATTGGTTTCAGCAACCAGTTGGACCAGTATGATGCAAGTATACCAGGCAGCAAGGATTGAAATATCATATCATACTGGAGTTTCGACATTCATTCGGTACGGTACGATACTGTATATCGAGCGGTATACCGTTCGGTATATATATATATATATATATATAATTCTCCCAAGCGGGGCGATGTCGCCTCATTTATATATATATATATATAAATTAATAAATATATATTTATATATAAATATTTTTATAAAAGGCGACGTCACCTTTTCCTTCTCCCACGTGGGGTGACGTTGTCACATTCTGGATTTTTTTTTTATATCTTTCTACACATTCAGAGCCAAGTAGATAAACATCACTTTATTCATCATTTATAAACATTTATTACAATTCATTTATTCATCAAATCACAAGTAAAAAAGTAAATATAGTGATGTTAACTTCAAGAATCATCTAAGTGGCTCTACCTAGCGATAGAGGAAGGTCCGCATTCCATTGGAATTCGATTTAGTACTAGAGGGAGGTTGCTCTGAAAATAAAAAACAAAGAAAATTCAGTAATGCTGAGTAGGAACCCAAAAAGTCAACTCAAAATGAATACATGATCAAAATTTAATCATCCCATTGGCGTATATCAAATACCCGAAGGAGCACTCCAACAGCGGACGGAGAGACTTTATCCTACGGGATGAGTTTGTATTCTCCCAATAGTGGAATAAGACAAACTCATATCGCACTCCCAATAGCGGATGGAGGAACCGTCCAGCCGTCACGTCTAACGACCCGCTAATCCCCGAAGGGAATCGCACTACCTGCCCTTGGCAGGGTAATAACATAATCTGACACTGGTTATATCTATATCGGGATTAAATAACACATGTAAAATATTTCTTTCAAATATTATCAATATTAAATAATATAAATTAGTCCTCAATTGACTTGAACCCTAGTTCAATCGATCTAATTGAACTTGATTTACTAGAACCTAATTGAACCGATCTCTAATCCTCATTTAATTGGTCTGGAACCATCTTAGACTAGTATAATTTAGACTAGATTAGGTTAAATTTAGGTTAAACTGACTTGAATAAGTCAATCAATTCGGAATCACTCTGAATCGATCTAGACTAATCAAGCCTAGTTTAGTTCAATCAATATTTGGGCTCAAATCCAACAATAATATTGGGCTAGACTGGGCCAACCCATATACTGGTCATGAGCATTGCACATGATTGGGCATGCATCACACCATGCTGGCCCAGCCCTGGCCCATGGACTGGTCATGTGCGTCGCACGTGACCGCCCATGATGATTGGGCTGGGTTAGCCTACAGGCCAGGGCCTGACCCCTAGGTTGGGCCTGGTCTGTTGACTGGGCCTGGCCAGTGGGCTGTAGCCTAACCTATCGGTTGGGCTTGGCCTATGAGCAATTTCAATCCAATTTATAAGCAATTTCATATCACAACATATATTCATTGATAATTATATAAACAAAAACATAATAGCACATTAAAAGATAGATTTTGAGATAAGTTTTAATACAAGGAAATAACCTTCTAAATTCAAATAGAAATCATATTTTCAACACATGTATAATTTCAACATATTCTAGTCAAATAAATTTTAAATCATTTAGAATAACACATTTTAATTTTCAGATCAAAGAATATCAAAAATTTTAGATAATATATTTTAATTTAACAAAATTTTAATCTGAATAAGAGTAAAGGTAAGTTGTAATGCTAGGAAAATATCATATATTTAATACATAAAACATGTAAATTTTTAACATATTTAAATCTAAAAATAAAAACCATAAGCAGGGGTTAAAGAACATTATAAAAACTTCAGCTGATAGGTTTTAATACAACAATAAAAAATTTTGACATTTAAAGAATTGATAAATATTTTGAAACTACAAAATTTTTAACATTTAAAGAATTAAAATAAAAATAAAATTTTTTATTTTCAAGAAAGGTAGGGAAACCTACCTCTCGTTAGCAGGGTGTAACTCCTTGTTCCTCTCGTTACTGGGCTCGGCTAAATAAGGAACGAAGGAGAGAAGTCCCTTCCCTTAAATAGGAGACGGTGAGCCTCCATTAAAGGAAATTTATTTTAATTTTCGTATTTATTTAATATTAATTATTTCTATTTAATATACTAATAAATATGATATCATTCGATTTGGAATGCTTAATAGTTATTTCCTAATTCGTAATAACAAACAAGGAAATAGATTAAGATTTCCTAAATTACAATGGTAAGTAAGGAAAAAAATTAATTCCTAACTTAACTATTTGATTTGATTACATTTCTCCCCTCCTATAGGAAATTTGGTCCCCAAATTGAGCTCACCTTAATAGAATAGATGAGGATACTGCTCTCGCATATCTTCTTCTCTTTCCCCCGTTGCCTCTTGGTTTGAATGGTATTGCCAACAAATCTTTACCAAAGGTATAATTTTATTCCTTAGAACATGTTCTTTCTTTTCTAAGATCTAGGTTAGTTGTTCTTCAAAAGTGGCATCATCTCTTAGTTGTAGAGGTTAGTAAGAAATGATATGTGATGGATCCCTGATATATCTTCGAAGCAGACATATGGAATACATCATGGATGCTAGCCAAAGCCGGGGGGGGGGGTGTAATGCCAATCTGTACGCCATAGGCTCGACCTTTTTGTAAGATCTCAAATGAGCCAATGAATCTTGGGACTAACTTCCCCCTTTTACCAAACCTCATAACTCCCTTAGTTAGCGACACTTTTAAGAAGACGTGCTTACCAACTTCGAACTCTAGATCTCTTCGCCTTCGATCTGCATAACTTTTCTGATGACTTTGAGCTGTTAATAATCTTTGGCGTATAATTTGAACATTATCAGTATCTTTTTGAATTAATTGAGGTCCCAAAAGCTTCCGTTCTCCTACCTCATCCCAATATATAGGTGATCTGCATTTTCTTTCTTAAAGAGCTTCAAATAGAGCTATCTGTATGCTAGAGTGGTAACTATTATTATAAGAAAACTCAATTAGGTACAAGTTCATATCCCAACTCCCACCAAAGTCCAAAACACATGCTCTTAAGAGATCTTCAAGAGTTTGTATTGTCCTTTCAGACTGACCATCAGTTTGGGGGTGAAAAACTGTACTAAACTTTAACTGCATGCCTAAAGATTTTTATAGACTTCCCCAAAACTTAGAGGTGAACCTTGGATCTCTATCTGAGATAATGCTAACTAACACCCCATGATATCGAATAATCTCCTTAATATATAAGCTTGCTAGTTTATCCAATGAATACTTCTTATTAACAGGGAGGAAGTGAGCAGATTTAGTAAGTCTGTCTACTACTACCCAAATTCTATCATAGCCTTTCACAGTCTTGGTTAATCCTATGGATTTTATCACAAAATCCATAGTGACTTGCTCCCACTTCCATTCAGGAATCGAAATCATTTGCAATTTTCCTGTAGGTACTCGATGTTCTACCTTCACCTGTTGGCATATCAGACATTTAGAAACAAACTTTGCTATATCTCTCTTCATACCACGCCACCAGTAGTTTTGGCGTTAATCTCGATACATCTTAGTAGTCCCGGGATGGATATTAAATTTTGATCTATGTGCCTCCTCCAATAATTGCAATTTTACTGGATGGCTTTCGGGAACACAAAGTCGATTGTGGAATGTAATAGAACCATCTTCGGCTTGGAGAAATTCGGGTCTAGATCCTTGAGCTATCTCCTTAACTATTATATGAAGATATCTTTCTTCTGACCTTTTTTAACCTTTTCCACCAAATATGATTGTGCCATCAGACACGCAAGAAAACCTTTATTTGTCTCTGATAAAAGTTTAAGTTTTAAGTCTGCTAACCTTGTTATCATAGAATGAATTCCTTTGAATATTCATATAGGCTACAAAACTATAGGGATTTCTGCTTAAGACATCAACAACTACATTAACCTTCCCAGGATGGTAGTTTAAAATCATAATCCTTTAGAAAGTCCAACCATCTTCTTTGTCTCATATTTAAATTTTTCTGTTGAAAATATATTTGAGACTCCTATGATCTGCGAAGATTTCAAAAGTCTGTCCATAGAGATAATGCTTCCAAATTTTCAGTGCAAAAATGATAGCTGCTAGCTCTAAGTCATGAGTATGATAGTTCTTCTCATGAGGCTTTAATTGCCTAGATGCATAAGCAACTACCCTTTCGTTTTGCATCAAAACACAACTAAGCCCTTGTAGATCCTGACTTCGAGAATGAATATTGTGGGGTTGTCTCTTTAAAAATGATTTATTGTGGCAATTTGTATACATCAAGTCATCATACATATTGTGGTTAAATATGTTCGCTGTAAGTAATTGACGATTATACTTGGCATACTTAGGAAAGCTCTTTTATTTTTTTGGGCACATACTTGGAACAAGATATTGAAGAGATATGTCTTATTTATCTTGTCATTTCGGGTTGGCTTACAAATCTATTTTTCTTTACTGCCAATAATCATGTTGCTGTTTCCCTTCTTTCAGTTCCAAAATTTTTTCAATTGGGTTTTGAGATATATAAAGATACTAATGTCTGAACCGATTGATCAAATACAACCAGCGAACAGGTTGGACATCTGACATTGTTCTTATGAACCTTTCAAACAATAACACCTCAAATGTTTTTAGTTCTGATGATTCTTCATTGTGTTTTCAGTGAACTTATTGTTGTGTTCTTGAAGTTTCTGCTTGATCATGATCCCATTGGAGAGTTACTGGAAGTAAATAAAATAATTGAGGTTGATGTGTAAGTTACTATCTCTAGATATTCCTTCTTCGATATCTTATGTTTTGATCTTAATAATGATTGATCTAACCGTGGGGCTATCTGTTTGCTTGTGCTTATTGATCTGACAAGGTTGATTTTGCCCACTCCTTTTCCTTAAGATAATATTATTAATTGTATCAAATTTTAATAGTTATGTGGTTGTTATTTGGCGCAGAGACACTATGCAGCGAATTGAACAACTTGTAATGTTTGGAGGATATTCAGATACTAATTACTTGGAGAAAACCTTATCAGATGAATTTAATCAGCTGGAGCAATGGTAATTGAATCTATACTTGGTTTTTCTGAAGAATGCTAACTTTTTGAAAGCATAACATTTGGAAGTTTTTAAATGTGATGCATAAAAATAATTTTTTGTTGAATAATTTGTACAAGATATATGGGGTGGTATTTTAAAGTTGAAGTACCATCAAATCTCTTTCTAAATATATCTTCATATATTTATTATTATTCTTGTTCCATTTCACTAGTTCTTATTTCTTTTCTTGATGCGTATAAAATCACCTTGCTAGGGAAAAACAGAAGACAGTAGGTAGAGTTCAACTGCTTGCTTTATTTTTTTAACAAAGGATATAGTTCAAAAAAACCAGGAGAATGTGAGAGAAAAAAGTAGTAACACCAATGATACAATAGCTGAAAATAAACCATCAAAACACCTTTATATTTGAGACCTGACCAGAGTACAAAATTCTTTATCTAATTAGGATTCTAACACAGGACATTATAGACCAACAAAAAATTGATAAAATTTTTCTGCCAAGACCTTTTTGCCATTTATGTTCTTTTTAGGACTCTTCTAAATTAGGAACAAGGACGACCTTGTAGAGTTAGTAGAGAACATCAAAGCACTTCTTTTCTTATTGGATTTAATAAGAGTTGTTACAAGTAAAAATCCCACACAAGTGATGCTGTTTCCATAACTCCAAAACTGGTTCATTTAAAAGATAAAAAAAATTAATCATGTATAGACACATGTATATTTAAGATAATTTATTGGCTTAAAAGTGCTTTAGCAAAATTATTAGAAGTAATTTTGGCAAACTATTCGATTTTGCCCTATTTAGTATGGTACGATTGGTATTTATGACCTGATCATCAACCGACATGTTGTCATAGATTTAACTGGAGTTGTCTAAGTCGTGAAGCACCCTTGCGCTATCCATCCACAAAGGGTCAGCTTAGCTGCAACCTCGTTCAGGTCTCATAGGACTTGTAAAAGAGCAAATTGATTAGTTCGAAAGCTTATAAAGAGGGCAGCTTTGCAAGCAATTCAGCAAACACTCGGTGAGAAAAAGAGAAAAGAGAGGAAGCAGAAAACAAGGACTCTAGAAGGCAAAAAAAATAGTCGCAAGTTCATAGACGATTGCTCACCTGGTGTCGGGCGCGATGACAAGTTCCTATCAACTTAACATGCAAACTTATATAATCCATTCAATGGCCAACACTACCAAACCTCTATCTAGTCAGGTGCCACTTGGGGGGTTCCAAGGTGCTGAGATGGTTGACGTTTCGTGTCGCATCGCAGCTTGCAGAAAAACAAGCCGTGGCACGCGAGAATGGGGTTATTTTAGGGAAGTTTTGCTCGTTGTTGTGAGCGGTTGCTCTATAGCGTTGCGATTTGTTCTTGCTTACAGTTTTTAAGAAAAAACACACAACCAAGGTAAAACACGTTTCCAAGCATCTGTACAAGCACACAAAAGCGACGAACGGTTTATTGACGAAGATTTGTGAGTGCGCAATGATCGTTCGTGACATTCTCCCCCACTTAAACTGTCGATGCCCTCGTTGACGCTTACTGGTAGGCTTTGATGACTCCTTCTTTGTGTTGTAGTGTCATAAACTTAGTTGGTTTTACCAAAGTCGTGCGGCACTTTTGTGTCCATATGTAAAGGGTCAGCATTCTCGAAATCTCCTATGGTTCCTTAAGGACCTACAAAGGAGAAGACGAGCTAGATAAAGCGTTTAACTTGGGATTGACAAGCAACAATTTCAGCAAACACTTGATAGGCAATGCAAATTATAAATATGGACTTTGCAAGCTCTGAACGGTTGCACGACAAATGGTCCAAGAAGGTCCACAGACCAAAATGCCCACGAGTGCCCACATGACACAACCTTCGTTTACAAGCCTAAAGCGGCCACCAAAGCCAACCAAAATAGGGCTGCCAAGCCTATTGTCAGCCCTCTATATATTGTGCAAAGTATGAACAAAGCCAAAAGACACAGACATATATGAGCATTACATTGAACACCTTGTTTATAGCTTTGTTCATGACATTCTCCCCCACTTATTCCTTCGACGTCCTCGTTGAAGCCTTTGCAGACGCTGCATCTCCTCGCCTTTGTTGAGTCTTCAATCTTCCGCTCCAACTGCAACGTGTCTCTTGGCTCTGAACTGCTCTCTACCGTTGTTGTTGAGTAGTCAAACTTTGATCCGCCATGCTATTTTAACTCGTCAATGATTCTGACTCTGGTGTGGGGCCGGTTAAGTTGTGTTGATCCTTGTTAGTTGCTACGGATCCTTCAGATGAAGGAAAATACCATTCTTGTTATGTGCTAGTCTCTCAAACGTCTTATGCCGCTTGAGTTGGATGGATGCCTGTTGGAGCTTTAACGAACATTGCCTTGCAAACTTTGAAGTTTTTGAGATCTTTCCTCCACAAAATTGACTCATCGATTCCTCTTCCACTTATTTGTCGCTTCTAAGTAGGTTCACATCACTTCCGCTTTCGATTGACATTCTGTTGGGAAATGAAGCGAACAATCTACTCTCCGTAGCACCGATCACCATCAGTGAGGATTTGACAACTATTGTCTTCTGCTAAGTTTCTTTGAAGGGTCTTTGAACCTGTGCAGAGCTCTTCTGCTGGATATATAAGAGACTTGGGATACTCGGTTTCACCCAATTTTTTAAGGGTTGAGAAGGCAAAGTTTACTCGACTTCGCTCGCCTTCTCGAGGGTTGTACTCCATGTATCAAGCTGGTTACTAGCCTTCGCTTGTTTTTTGCTCACACTTCCGAAGCACTCGAAGTGTTTGCACTCCTTGCATTGAGTTAGCTGCTACGGTTCACTTTCTCATTACCATCGAACTTTTGGAATGCAAGAAGTTCTGCCCGAAAAGTGCAAAATTTTATCCCGACTTGGAGCAAGTCTCCAATAGTTTTGGTCACCTTTGGGATTGTACCGTCTTCTCAATCATCTTTGTTGCCTACTCCTTTGAGTAGCAAAGGTACAACACCGTGTATTGCCTACTTCGATCCTTGGTCGAGCACTCTTGTATTGACCCGAAGTCCTCCACTTTTGGCTATCTTGATGAGAAGCTCGTTGACTCCGATCTTACGTGACCTCTCCTCTTTAGTCTTGTCTCGATACTTGGAGTTTGCCTTTGCATTCTCCACCTCCTTAGCCTCTTTCACAACCAAGTGCTCTCCCTTTATGAGTGTAAGGGATCAATGACTCCATGTAAGTCCTGCCTCTACAATATCATAGCATTGCCATGCACATGACACTACTATCCTTTGCCTCGCATTTGCGTCCCTTTCTTCACGATTGGTAAATTCGCTTCTACGGCAGTGTGGCATTCCTCCGAGTCCACCTCCATTTTAACCGATACTTAGTTTTTGGTAGTTGAGTCCCTCTGGACTCATTGTCGCTTCCTCGCCCCTTTCGACCACTTGCTTCAACACCTCTATGTTCGAGCAGTTCACCTTGGTCGATGGAAAGACAGACTACAACTCCCATGCATGGCCTTCGCCATCATGTTGCAGGGCTTGCACCGATTCTGTTATCTTTAGCTTCCTTGTTTGTAACGTTCGCTTACTTGGCTTTGTCCTCTAACTTGCCAGACTCCTTTAAGCGAATATAAGCTTTGGAGCAATCCAACTCTCCAGCGGCTCCGATCATACCTCTATAAGATCAAGTCCCCTCATGGAACTCACTAGTATTTGCACTCAGAATTTTCCCTTGGTGATACACAGCGTCCATATGCTGATACCTAAGCCTTTCATTCGATGCAAAATTAGAGATATGTACGGAAGATCTGCCTCTGCGGTACCATGGCATTCACTTCTTGAATCCAGAGCCCTTCTTGTCGTCGTGTTGTTCATCGAAGTGGAGCTCCTAATAGCTCCTTATCATACCTCCGTATCACCTAGTCCCTCGCGGGACTTGCCCCGTGTGTGTCGCGTTGCCTCGAACTCTTTCACCACGATCCGCTGCACAATGTCACCTCCTAATGACATCTCCATTGCATTCTGATTATTGTGGGATGAACTCGAACTACGATCTCTCCATATGTGGCCTCCTAACACATCGCAGGGCCTTCACCATCTCCGATTGTGTTCGCTTCTTTAACAATCGACCTTCGTCCGCCTACTCTCGGGTCACACCCAGACGAAGCATAGCTCTAGGACAGTTTGTCGCTTAGTATCTCTCAAAGTCCACGGACTTTGTTGAAATTGATGCACCATTGTCTAGATCTCGGGCCTTTGTGCCCCCCCTAGCACAATCTCTGCTGCGCACCGCTTTCTTCATAGTAACTCGAATGGCAGCATTGTGGCATATTCTTCAAGAGTGCTCGCCTCTGCGTTCTCTTGCCTCGTGCCAAGGCCTTTTGACCCTAACTTCACCTCTGTAAGTTGAGTCACCTTAATTCCATCGTCAAATACTTCTCTGAGATAAGGTGCATGTGCCTCGAAGTTCCATTCATCTTTGGCGCCATGTAGGATGAGTCCGCTCCATCAGAATGAGGGACCCATAGAACGACATAATCCTGCTCTTGCCTTTGCAAGAGTTTATGTCCTTGACCTCCGTCCAAGGAAAGATTCGTGCCTCTGCTCCATATTCCGTCTTTTATATCGACTTCCTTCATGCGACCTGGGCACTTCACCAAGTTACACCCAAGTTGCTAAACATGTGCGGTCCGTTGTATATGATTCTCCCTCTAGAGAATCGAGACTTATCCCCCTAGATATCTGTTCGTTGAATTCACATCCTTTCCTCTGGAAGTTCCGGAGACCACAATCCCTTTGAACTACTCCGCCTTGCTAAACAAATTATGCATTGTTCTGCCCCTGCAAACACACTTGCTAGATTACGACTCTTCGCTAATACAGCCCCCGCTGCACCCCTCAATGTCTAGCAACATGCTGAACTTACTGCACACTTCAGCCTCCCACGGATGAATCCTTCCCATGCCGAAGAGAATTCAAATGCTTCATGGCGTCGAGTTTCGATTGCCTTGGGATGACCACGAATAT